CACCGTGGAGGAGATTCTCAACGTGGACCCGGTGCAGCACACGTACTCCTGCAAGGTGGGCCCCGCGGCCCCGCGGCCCCCTCCACGCCCTGGCGCCCTGGCTGGGGGCCTCTCCCTCCGCGATCCCGGCCCCTGGCTCGGAGGCCCTCCCCTCTCGGTGCCGGCCTCCCCGCGGAGACCCCCCAGGCGTGGGAACGAGCCCCGGACGCTGCGCGGCTCCGCTTCCTTGGCGACCGCCGAGCACGGGGGGAGGGGGGCCGGTCCCGGAAAACTCGCGAGCGCCGGAGGGAAAGTTCCTGCGGGCCGCTGCAGTCCCACCCAGAGGTGCCCGGGCCGGGGGCCGGTCACGGCTGCCTCTCCGCCCAGAGCCCCCTCCCTTCCCGGGAACGGCCGCGCCGCCCCAGGGAGAGCGTGAGGCTACCGCACCCCTCCCGCGCCGAAGGGGCGAGGGGAGGTGGAGGCCTCGCCTGTGGTCAGTGCCGTCGCCCCCTCCCCAGAGGCCTGTGTTGGGGCGAGAGAGGGGTCTCGCTTCTAGTCCCCCGATCCCAGGGACCCTGGGGGTGCCGCAGTGCCTGGGTGTGGGGCGGGAGCTGAGGAGTGGGCGGGCCGCTGCTGAGCTCCGGTTTGGGGGAGCAGGGGCAGGTGCCCCGCCCGCCGCTGGGAGGACTGCATTTCCCCGGCCGCGGGAAGGGGGCTTGCGGGGCCTCTCCTTCGGGGGGATCCGGAAGCCCCCGGGGAAGGAATGTGGGTTTTAAACCACGACCCCTGCCTACGGTGGACTCGGGACCCAGGACCGGCCCCCGCTTCTGGCCCCAAACTGCCACCTCCTTGACCAGAAGTGGGACCGTTCCTCTTCCTTGGAGATGGGGAGGGCGGCGGCCCCTTGCCGACGGGCTGTGAGGCTGGGCTGGGATCCCCGCCGGCCCCCTCCCCTGCACCTCGGGGCACCGTGCCAAGTCCCTGCAGGATTTTCCCGACTTCCTCCCTGCTGCTCCTGGGTGTGGCTGGGCGGGGGGAGGCCATGAGAGCTGCCCAGCCCTCCCCCGCTGGTTATGGTCCTACTGTGTGCCCGGAGGTCAGAGGGAGAGGGCTGGATGAGGCTGGACAGGCCACTGGTGGGTGGAGGAGCAGAGGCTGTGGACCTCAGGCTCCCAGCATGGGGGAGGCAGGCAGGTGAACTGGCCACCATTGTCTTTCGTCCCCCATTCCAGAAGCCCGGGGCCCCCAGAGCTCCAGAAGAAAAAGGCACTTCTCAGGGAGTGCCCGGCTCATGTCCTGTGGACCTGTTCCTTTGAAGGCAGCCTGCAGCTTCTGCGACCCTCCTGCCCCACTCCCACCCCCACCCCCACAGGCTGTGGGCATCTCAGGGCACAGTTTGTCAGAGCAGGTGCCCTCAGGGCCCCAAGAGCAAGCGCAAGGAGGGTGGGGCTGCCCTGTGCTGCCCAAACTTGATTTTATGGTTCCTAGGCTGCCTGTACTGCACTCACTGCGGGAACCTGGCAGGAGGAGGGGTCTTACACCTCCTGGGAGGGGGTGCCAGCCCACCCACAGGGCTGCAAAGAACCCAGCTGGCTCAGAGCCCTGAGCTCAGAGCTCGTCGCCCTGAAACTCTACCATCCATGTTAGTTGCTCCTGGCTCTACCCAGGGTTGGCCGGAGTAGTGGATGGGCAGATAGGGAGAGTGGGGCGTGGGAGGCAGGCAGCCCAGGCCAGGTGGGTCCCCTTTCCATATCCAGCCTGAGCTGACATGGGCATTGTTGGAATCGGGGTGGCTGGGGTCAGTTAGACCTGAGGGTGGGGAACTGTTTCCTGGAGGAAAAGGCCCAGGCGCCCAGTCTGGTGTTTTCTTCTGGCATCAGTGACCTCCTTTCCCCAGTGGGAAGAGGGTCACCGATACCTGCCCCCCCTTCACCCTAGGTTCGGGTCTGGCGATACTTGAAGGGCAAAGATGTGGTGACTCAGGAGAGCCTGCTGGATGGCGGCAACAAGGTGGTGATTGGCGGCTTTGGAGACCCACTAATCTGTGACAACCAGGTGTCCACTGGGGACACAAGGATCTTCTTTGTGAACCCTGCGCCCCCATACCTGTGGCCAGCCCACAAGAATGAGCTGATGCTCAACTCCAGCCTCATGCGAATCACCCTGCGGAACCTGGAGGAGGTGGAGCACTGTGTAGAAGGTGTGTCGGGGCAGAGGGTGACTGAGGTGGGGGCAGAGTAGAGTGTTGTAGGCTGGAGCTCAGTGTGTCTATGGTCTGATCTTCCCAGCTCCCTGGTTCCCAGGCTGTGTCTCAAGGTCAGCTCCAACCTCTGACACTAGCAGTGCTCCCCCTAAGCCCCCAGTATGCCACCATCTTTTGTTTTAGAGCCAAGCAAGTCCCCAGCTCTGCAAAGGGACAGGCCTCCTTCTCTTGCCCTCCCCTCCCCCTCCCTGGCTCTGCACCTCCTGGAGGGTCCTTTTCTAAAGGAGAGGCTGGAACCAGGTGAACGAACACCAGCTGTTCATGTTCCTGCAGAGGCCCAAACATCTGTCTAGACGGGTCCCAGATGTTGAGCAAACCCCTGTGGGTGGGGGACTGCTGCCTTGTGTGTTTCGACCGAGCCCTGTCATTTCTGGGAAGGGGCAGTTCTGTGGGGTGGGGGCTTCTGTGGGTTTGAAAGGTGTGGGACTCCGTTACCGAGGTGAAGAACTTTTTCTTATCTGCTATCTCCACTCCAGTATTCTGAATGGCCTGAGAGTGCCCCTCCCCCACCACAGCCCCTGGGAGGTGAGCAGGAATCACATGCCCAGGGCTCCCCCGCACCCCCTTCACCCCAGTATAGTCCCAGTTAGGCGTTGAGATCCTTGGCTGAGGAATGCAGCAGGGAGAATGTAGGAACTGCCGTTGTCCCCATATCCTGTCTGTCCCCTCATGGCTGCCTAGGAAGGGATGTATTGTCGGGGTGGGGGGGGGTCGTGAGAAAATGTTTCCTCCCCAGGGGAGTGGGGGGTGTCTGTGACTTCCTGTCCTGGGAAGGTGACCCTGTCCCTCTGATTTGCTCTGTTGGCCAGTAGGGAAGTCCCACCTTCTATCTAGCTTAGTGCTGTGATGCTGGCTTGGCTTTTTTGGGGTCCTGGATGATGGACTCATCTGGTCTGGGGAGGACGAGGCAGGGGCAGACCCAAGTGGCGTGGGAACCCCGTGATGTCTTGCCCAGACTATGGTCAGCTGTTTCTGGGGCTGCCTCAGGCCACAACACCACACAGAGAAGCCAGCAGGTTGGTGTGTCCCTAGTCCCTTGCCAGCACTGGCCCAGCTGAGGGGGTCTTAGCCTGGCTGTCTCACTTGGCAAGGACTTGAGACCCTGGCTCCACTCTGGAAGCTCGTGGTCTAGGAAACAGATGGGAGGGAGACATGGAGATGGGGCAGCTGTGTGATGGTCATGCCCAGTGTTGGGGGTGAGTGGGGACTAAGGAGAGGCTGGAGAGAGAGGTCAGGACAGAGAATCCCCTGTCCCTAGACAGGGAATCCAGAGGGCGAACCATTAAGCGTACTGCTGGGTGGGTCCAGCCCGAGGGTCTGTGACTCAGTAACTGAGGCCTTGTGTCGAGTCAGAAGGCATATGGCATGAGGGCCACTGCGGGCAGAACAAGATTGGCCATCCTGCCAAAGCCCCACCCACATCAACCCTGGCTCTGGACATGCCAGGCTGGGCAGAGACAGCCGGACAGGACGGTCCACAGGGAGAGGCCCCCAGCCAGGATCGAGTCAGACTTGACCTACTGTGTGTTGCCTGCCCTGGTGACCAATACTCAGGGGCCAGTCTAGGACCCAAGCTCTGGGTAGATGCTGGGACCCATAGGCCAGTGTGCAGCAATGGGGTGAGTGCTCAGAGGGGCTGAAGCCACAGAACCCAGGCCCACCAGGGAGGAGAGTTTGGGGAAAGGAGTTCTTGGAGATGAGGAAGGGAAAGGAAATGGTTTGGAGCCTTGTGGGTGGAGGCAGGGGAGGCCCAGGGCGGGGAGGGGCCCAGAATGAGGAGCTTCCCACTGGAAGGCTCTGGAGTTTTGAGCTGGGCCACATGGATCTCTGCTTTGGAAGCAGACCAGGGTGCTGAGGGTGGTGGGCTGGGCACTTAGGCAGGGTTAATACATCACAGGGGCCTAGGGTGAGATGGAGGTATCTCCCCTGAGTGCCTCAAAGCCTGAGGGACAAGGTCCCCTGAAGCTAGGGCCAGGCTGGGGAAGGAAAAACCTTGTGCCTGAGTCCTTCAGACTAGGTGGGTGGGAGGAGGGGCAACCTCCTGTTTTGTAGGAGATAAGGAGCTCAGATCCCACCCTAGGACTCTACCCCAGGCTCCCGGAGCCCAGGACTCCACCTAGTAAGGTGGACAGGGAGGGCCTGAAATAAACTGACCCTTCCGCATCTCACTGACCCCATTCTGCTCCCAGGGGCCCTACAGGGCCCAGAGTGAAATCTGGGCAGGCACTGATCTGTGGAGGTCACCCTAAGACCACCAGGTCTCACTTGTTCCTAGCGCACCTCACCCCCTGCAAAGCCCAGAGCAACCTAGGTAGGGGCCTCGTCCTCCCAAGCCCACCTCCTGGGGTGCTGCCTTTGGCCCACCCCTCCTCATCCCTGCCTGGGCACTGAAGGGGCATCTGCTGCTATCAGCACACTTGGTCCCCAGCTCTGCTAGGACCTGCCTTCCTTAGTTTCTCCCCAGGACCTGCAGGGTCTTCCTAGCTCTCCTGGTCGGGCCCCTTCCCCAGCCTCTAGCCCCTAGGAAGACACCTCCTCCAGTCCTGACCTGGGGAACCACATTCCTGGCATAACTGAGACAGGTATGTGTCCCTCCCTCTGCGCCACCTTTGGGTGAGGGAGGCTTGCTGTTCTGGAACTGCCTCTTCCGGAAGGAGACTCCCCCACCTTGCCGCTTTGTCAGGGATGTGGCCTGGCCTCTTTCAGTGACAGCCACCCATATACTGTGAGTCTGCCTAGGCTGGCAGCTTAGCGGGCATCTCCAACCCTCAGCTACCTTGTCCTGGTCTGGGCACTGCCCACTTACTCCCCCCACACTCCCTCCTCTCTCCATATGAAGGCTAGTCCTGGGCCTCCCCTGCAGCCCCCAGGAAGACACAGGCTGGCTGAAGGCCGGCAGGGCAGCCTGGGGCCCTCCCTTCCCCTCCCCATAGGAGCCAGGAGCAGAGAAAGGAAGTGTTGTTTGCCCCTGCCGGGCCTGGCACAGGGACAGGGTCGAAGTGAGTCTGGCGCTGGCCCAGCCTGTCCCTGCCCAGCCCTAAAACCAGGGTCCTGATGGCCACACTCTCCAGCCAGCAGTGCTAGGCCTCAGGCTGCAGAGGTGTGGGCCCTACAGGCCCAGAAGCTGGCTCTCCATCCTGCTGGGTCAGGTAGATGTCCAGGGTAGGTTTCTGGACTGGCTCCCTCTGCTGCCTGGCACTTAACCTCGGCCTGTCCCGCCCCCTCCACATTCCTCCCTGCTGTCGGGGAGGTGGCTTCTTCCGGTTCACGGTTCCTTCTCCTACCCCGTCTGGTCTGTAGGTTCTCACCCCACCCCCTCCAGACCCCACCCAGCGTCCTTCCTGGCCCCTCCCCCAGGCTGGGCCTAGAAGTGGCAGGTCCAGGCTGGAGGCTGCCCGCTGGCAGCCTCGCACCTTCCCTCCGAAGGCTGGGGGAGGCTGGGGGCGGTGTCTGCCCAGGTGGGGCGTGTTCTCCCACCTGGCGTCCCTGGTAGGAAGTTAGCAATGGGAGCTTCCAGTGCACAGGACTGGACGTGTGGGGGCTTGGATTCCACCTGGGTTCACGTGCTGGCGGGCTGCGAGCGTTCCTGGGGCAGCAGGGGCTTGTGGCTGAGTTGGTGGAAACAGCTCTTGGCTTTTTCCATACCCCTCCCCACCCCCTTGCTCCCCACCAAGAGAAGAGCCCAGCCTTCATTCTCTCCCACAGACTGGAAATGGGAAAAAATTGTTTTGAAACTGCCCTCCACCCTCTCCCTCCCTCTGTGACACGGGGATGCTGGACAGAGCATTCTGGTGGGGCCAGCCTGTGCCCCGCAGCACAGGTGAGGAAGTGGCAGGTCACCTGTCCAGAGCTAGCTGGCCTAGGTCTGGGACTGCGTGTTGGGGCAGGAAGTGCAGGGACTGCCCCGGGGAAGGTGCTGGGTGCGGGGAGGAGGAACAGCCCAGACCTAGGGCCATGGGTCAAGCCAGAGTCATCCCAACCATCCCCTGCGGCCAGCTGGCCAGCCAGCCAGCACAGCCTCCTCCAGCCTGTCTGATTTATTTCCTTCCTGGAGGGTTAGTCCCCCCCATCCCCGCAGGGGGTTGGTAAACAGCTGCAGGAACAGGCTCCACCCTCCCCAGTCCTTTGCCTCCACCTGTGGGATGCAAGCCAACTGCCCCTCCTCCAAGTTCAACCCTTGCCCAGAGGCCTGGGCAAAGGGGGCATGGACTTCTTTCTGCCCTGCCCTAGCACCCCCTCACCACAGGCCACTGGGGCTGGGCTGGGGCTGTAGGCACAATCATCACAGTAGCCCTAGTGGCACTGGACACCCCAGAATCCCAGGAAGTGCCCACCTTTCACTCAGAGAAATGAGACAGCAATCCAGTGACAATTACCTCATGACAGTGATGCAGCTCATCTGAGGAGGGCACTGTGCCCCCTGTGGGTCTGCACTGGGGCCCAAAAGAGGTCATGTTGGAGCCCATGTTGGGCTGGGATCTGGGGAGGGGTAATCTAGGCCTGCAGTGGGAAGCTCCCCTCCAAGAGGCCTCCCCCCACCTAGCAGATCCTGAGAACTTCCTCTGAGGAAGGCCCCCTGCCAGAGGCGCTGACAGCTGGACCTGGACCTGGGAAGGGGAAAAGGCCCTTCCCAGCCACTCCCCCGTGCCGCCCCCCCCACAGAGAGGCATGAAGAGGGAGAGCTCTTTTCAGCTGTGTGGCATGCACATGTGCATGTGCACATTTGTCTGCTTGGTGCACATGCACCCTCAGCTTCATATGCTCTGTGCACATGAGAATTCTGGTCAGAGGCCCAGCAGGTGGCCTGTGGTTCCCACCAGGCTGGCTTGCCTGCGTTCTGTTGAGGGCCAGGGGCCCTGCAGGTGCTCTGACAACAGACTAGTAAGGGGTGACCTTTGCTATGTGCATGCCAGGGCCTTGGGGACAGGGTCCCAGCCTCTGCTTGCTGTAGGTTGTCCTGTCTGCCCATGTGCAGCTG